CGAAGCTCCAAAACGAGCTGCTCAAGCTCAAAACATAACGGGCTTAAGCTCAACTTCAAGCTCAAGCTCGAGCTCTAAAAAGCTCTGAACAGACAAGAGCGCGCTAGAGAGCATATTAATACAAAGCATACGTATGTACTAATTATATGTACGAATGTATCTATGTACGTAAGTATTTATGTATGTATATTATCAGGAATCTGTTAAGTCTCAAATATTCGTCTATATACGGTGTTATTTTATTGCATAAAACATAACTTTAATGGTTTATTTTTAATTCGGATATTAATTACGCATACGCAAAATTTGAACGTTCATTTTATAAGCTGCTGCTGCGAATATTATGCCTGTAAATGCAGTAAATGGAATGTCCATATCTCAATACACTCACAGCTAAGCTTTGCTTTGCGAATATCGTTTACGGTATGCCAAGACAAGTGTGACCCGTTCAACGTAACAGAAAGTTGCTTTTGGCTATGCTTTCATTCATAACTGTTAAAAGCAATTCCTGTCTTTTCTACTACGCGCATGTTCGTGCATGAGAATGTATCTATGTGTGCATGCATGTATGTATGTATGCATCTACATAAATTCATATGAATCCCTTTTCATAGACTTAAATAGCAAATTTGATAATGATAAAATAATTAACTAAGTGATGTACTTGTAATATTTCTATGATTTTTACTAGTCCCACTTTCTGAGAGGTTCCTGACTATTTGTTGGTCGGGTACGTAAGCCAGGTGGGCAAAGCACAAACATTACATGCACCTCTATCTATCTATGTGTGTATGTAGATAAGCGCAGGTAGCATCGAGTGCTGTCATCTCAGCCACTTAATTCGGTGGTTCACCCCAACGTGGTATACGTCAAATGTGAAATGTGGTCTTTAAATTGCATTTGCTTGGGAGGCAGGTAATTTCCAGGTGTTGTGGCCAAGGTGGGACAAGGGCGATGTCGGGCTAAGCCTGTATGCGGACACTTATTATTAAGCTTTGCACTCTTCAATTGTATTTGTGTATGAAATATATTAGTTGTTGCTTACAAATTCAGATGACCCATCGCGTACAGCTGCTCCGCCGAATGCACTTTCCCGTAATCGAGCCCTGTCGCACCCAGCCGTCCTCGCATACACACCCGCGCTTGCACTTCACCGGCCTGCACTTCCTTCTTATGAGGTTGTCCACGCAGATCTTTGGGCAAGACGGTACGCAGGACACCTTCACGTCGTTGTGCAAGCACACTATTCACAAATACACGTGCATAAGTCACAGTGCCTGTCGTCAGTCAGCCTACTTACCATCAAGGAATATGTGCAGATGGGCAGCCGCAACTGCGCAAAGCAACAAGACAAAACTGACTTGCCAGACGAGCCGATTGCCTGCTGCGAGTCTCATTATCGAATGACTCCGTGCTTTGCCAGTAGGTTTACCCATTTGCGTAAATAAATCTAGTTACAGCTGTTCTGAGAATACTCTTAAAACAATAACAACAAAAACAAATGTACCTAAGAAACACATTTTCAGAGAATCCAAATGACATTTGGCACTTTGTTAAGTAAAGCTGGAACACATTAAAAATGAAATAAATGTATACTATCTAATTCTTGCTCGGTTTGTGCATAATCTACGATACTTTACAAAAGATATTTACTCCTTAGGCATGCCGTGGTAATTTCTATCTATATATCTATAAAATAACTGAAGCATTCGAGTTTCATTCAAATGGTTATGTAGGGCTTTCAAAATAAGGTCAATCAGTCAGGCAATCAATCAGTCAATCAATCAGTCAGCCAGTTATTCAGCCAAGACAAGATTTCGAGTCTCTTGCTTTTAAAGTTCCAGACTTCAAAGTAGATATGGCCAGATCGAATTAGCTCGTCATCCTGATCGACAATTTATACACCAGAAGAACTGATACATTTACAAATATATATTCTTAAAGCATATCCCAGAAGTTATAAGGCCTGAGAACAACATTTTTTATTTACTCGAATCAGGTGTATTTCATTTTCTTATCAATATGAATACTTGATAAAGTGGAATGCATCTCATAAGTAGAGGAAAATTGATTCTTGTAGCCTTCTTAGCTTCGATATTTAAGAGCAAGTCATGAAGATTGAGAATATGAATGGATATGTGAGTTATAGGTTGACTTGCCCTGCCGATCTATTATTTATAGATTTGTTTTATGCCCGTTTTAAATACAGAGCTTTACAAAGCAATTCGTTGGTCAACACCCGTTTTTGTATGCATATAGAGATACATATATATATACAGAAATATACGTATACACAGGTGAAAAAGCTGCCCACAATTAAAATACCTTCACTCTCGTTTTCATTGTGCTTGGCAAATAAAAGATTTGTATCTGCGTTAGACAGAAACTGGAATAATTTGAGAGAATTTGTTGCTTTATTTTGCGGGCAAACACCTTAAGCCCAAAGGTGGAATGAGAAAAACAAAAGACTCTTGAGCTTTATTAGCTTTGTTCATGTGATGGCTTGCGAAAACTAAACTCTTGAAGTTAATCACGATTTTGTGCTCAATGCTATTTGGTTTCCCTCAGCCCGGTTGCTGTTACTTCAGGCACAATTGATGCTCGAATTGCTGCAAAATAAAACGAACTAACTAATTTAGTTACATTAACCTAGTCAGATTTGCATGTAATTATGAATTCGAGCTCAATAGCAACCCAATGTTGAAATGTCTATGGGAAAACGCGACAAATGCTCACAGTTATCACGAGTCCTAACTCAAGATCCCATCTACACATAAAAAAGTCCTTCAATTTAAGCTAATTTAATATAAATAATGAATCTAGTTAATAGAGTTAGTACAAGCTTGAGTTCGCTTTGCAAGTTTGAGGATACAAAGCGAACTACTTAGCTAAACTCGAGAATGAAACAGTCAATTTTGAGCACAAGAGTTTGTCCGACTACTAGGTACCCTTTATTTCCTTCTATATACAGCTCGAGAATCAAACAGTCAGTTTTAAACACAATAGTTTGCCCGACTATGAGGTACCCTTTTTCCCATCTATATATACAGCTCGACAATCAAACAGTCAAGAGTTTGTCCGACTACGAGGTACCCTTTTTTTCTTCTTTGTATACAACTAGAGAATAAAACAGTCAGTTTTAAGCACAAAAGTTTGCCCGACTATGAGGTACCCTTTATTTCCTTCTATATATACAGCTCGACAATCAAACAGTCAAGAGTATGCCCGACTATGAGTTACACTTTCTTCCTTCTATATATACAGCTCGAGAATTAAACAGTCAGTTTAAAACACCAGAGTTTGCCCGACTATGTGCTACCCTGCCTTCCTTCCATATATACATTTATTTCATCTGTATATCCCAACGAGTACTTACAACATCAGGTTTGGTGTAGCCAGCTTCTAAAATAACCAAGTTATGCATATTTTTCAAAATCAATGGATATATCGATGTTATGAGAATAGTTAATAATACTGCAAGTTTTGTACTTTATGGGCTCGGAGATGCTTTCTTCCGCCTGTTACATACACTTGCACAGATTTAGACTAATAACTCAACTTACACAAAATTGTTTTGGCTTTAAGTAAAGTGATAAATTAGTTAATAAAGCGATCTCCTTCTAACAAATGCCGAAGATCATCGTCTGGGTCCTGGCTGGCCCCATCAGAGAGAGGCGTCTCCAACGAGGTGAATCAGCTACGAAGCGAATCATCTAAAAACTCTACTGTATTGGAATATGTCGTTAATCCCCTTAATTGTGAACATCCCTACCTTCTAAATACCCTTTAATTTTTGTACAATTTTTAATAAACCTTATATCAGAGTCTTTCGCTTGTCAGAGATCAGAAGGTGCTGATCGATCGAGTGCTTAATAAAACAAATTTAACACTTAAGTAAGAAAATTAGTTAATTGCTTATTAAGCGCGTTTTTAATGAGTTCATTTCGTGAACATGCGTAACACTAACTTGTTCTCTATCTGTGCTATAATTAACAACGAGGTGTCCAAGGTTGACGCAAACGCAACTCAATAACTAAAGCAAGAGTTAAAAAATGTATCGCCGAACGACCAAGCCTTAACAAACAGATCTAAATCGATTTAAAATTGATTTTGCTTGCTTCCAACTGGAATTGGCATTGCAAAACGTGGAAGTTCTGATATTTCGTCGCATTTTCGCGTTACAGTTTCAGATATAGATTCAAGTCGCGAGAACAAGTACCTTCCGGCTGCGGACATTGAACAAAGGCATTACCACAGAACCGAAACCGGAAATTTAAATGCTACTAAGCAAATAAACTTATTTATCTGATATTATCTAAGCAAATAGAGAAGCCTTCTTCTGCCTGTTACATACATTGCAAAGCCAAAAACTTTAAATTAAACTATTTCATATTAAGGTATACAAATTGGTTCGATTCATAGGCTGTCGACATAGGCTGTCGATTCATACTCTGTCCATTGGATATTGCACAGTTTAAGAGAAAATTAATTTCAAGGCAAATTACAAATTAAAAAAATTATATCTCTCATATAATATTTAAGGCATTTTATAGCAATATTAGTAGAAAGTTTTAATTTAAGAATCCTATGGATAATAATAATGTTAATCTCTATTCCTCGACAATCTAATAGCGTGTCAATTCACAAAAGAAAACGAAGCCGCAAGGCGATCGGATCGAAATTGAGCTGCTGTACATATTTCCACCCCGTGAGGTGGATTAAGAGTGAAACAACTTGTTATAAGTGTTATGAAGAGAGAACTTTGACTTTGAGTGTGAAACCAACTGGACTGAAATAAATTTCCTGCCAGAGATTCATTTTAAAACTGATCGGACTCCAAACAAATTAATTAAATACAAACATTAAGACCTGTTTTCACTTACATTCCAGTGAAAATTCAGCTTCCAATTTAAAACTTTCAGAACAAAGAGTTTTGTATAGACACTCAATGCCGGCACAGTTCCTGAAAAGTAATTTTTATACTTATTGTAGTCTTGGAATATATTTTGCATATATATTTTTACACAAAAAATAAAGTTCTTAAATTCATTTGTAAATCAAAAGATTCAATAAAAACACTGCCTCATAAACCATATCCAGTGCATCTACTTCAGCAGGTTCGAGGGTCAAAGTTCAAAGCATTGAATATTTGGTACTCCAAAACTTAGCCTAAAACGACAGAAGCGAATTTGTCATTACAATATACTCGATTATAAAGGTTCTAGAATATGTGACATTAATACGACAAGTAGAACTGCTTAAGTCGAAAGTCGGTAGGAGACATGCTGCTAAATTGCGTGAAAGTTTGGAAAAATATAAAAATCATGATTCTACTTAAAGTACTTCTGATTTAATATAAGTAATATGCGAGTTTAGTCAAATGTTGGGAAATAAGGGATGTCCTATCCGGAAATTTGTATAACACCATTTATAGTATGTTTATCTTTCGAATTATTGAATGATCGGGTAATGAATTATAGTCCTAGTATAGAAACCCAATAGTTTTCAGTTTTCAGTTTGAGTAAAATCTAAATAAATAAGCATATTAGAAAAATTTCGAAAGGATAATGTAGATGTGAATCGCGGACAGGACAACTTCTGGGAAGCAGCAATAAATAACCCAAGTAACAAACTTGATGTGGCTTCCGTGTCGCCAATCTTTTTTGGACCTTGTCTATTATTTTATAAGATATACTTAAATATAGTAGATATCTGCAGGCAGTGTCAAGTGCATATATATCACATGTGATATATCAAAAGCTCTTTCTATAGTTCCTTAAGTAAGTGTGTAATTATTTCAAACGGACAGACAGACAGATAATTCGTTGTCGCAGATGACTTTCCATAAATTCTAATCCCTTGTGTACAAATTTACAAAAATTTAACCAGACCTTTTAAAGTGACGGGTGAGCCGATTGAGCATGGTTTTCAGATCAGTTGCAACAAATCGAATGATAAACATTGGGATAATACAAACAACCGACAAGTACAACATATGTAATATAATGAATACTAGGCGAGTTTTATTCTTACCTGTCATCACTTGCATAAACTCTGAAATAAGTTGTACAAAATGAAAGAAATAAGAAATGGTTTTTGGTTGAATAAAGCAGCTATGCGAGCTTTCTTACCATCGAAGTCAACAGTTCCTGAGCCATCGGCATCGATTTCCTCAATAATCGAATCCAAATCCTGGCTCGAGATTTTGTCGTCCAGCTCGTGAAGAATTCCCCGTAAGGTGGCAACCGTCAGGTAGCCCTTGCCCTCCTTATCGTATACACGGAATGCCTCCTTCAGCTCACTCTGCAGGGCCCCGACATCCTCCTCGACCTCGATGAAACGAGCCGCTAGCTTGCAAAATTGGCTAAAATTTAATTTCTCAGTGGTGCCCTTGTCGACCTCCTTGATGAGCGCTTTCACAGCTGGTGGTTCAAGTTTCTGGCCCAGAATTTCCAATATGGCCGAGACGTCCTTATGATCGATCCATCCTGTGCCCTCAAGATCAAAAGCCTTGAAGGCATTGCGCAGAACTGGCAAAAGACAAGAGATTAGCGGACGTTTCATGAAGGCGAACTGGCCTAGTTATGTACTTCTCAATTGATCTTTGTCGTACTCCCCCTCGGCCTGCAAAAAGAAAGATTAATTAGGAGCGGAATTTTATTGCCCTGCCATGTTTCACGGCGCGTACTCATTAGGCACGAAAATGTCAATTCACATGTTCTTAAAATAGGAAAGATTTAATTAGTTCGAATGAAACGTAATTAGCCTTATATATAAACTGAATACTCAGAAATAAAAGGCAGTCCAAAATCGATATTATCAGTTTTTTACAGCAAGATCTTTAAATGATAATCAGGTAAATTTAAAATTTGGTTTTGCAAATGTCCATATGCCATAGGTCCATATATATGCCCTACAAATGTCCTCTAACACGTTAGACAATTTTCAGTTAGAATCAAGGCCAAACACTTGTCGAAATCAAGCATTTAATTGATTTATTTGCGAGACACAATTGTACACTCAATGCGTTTTTTAATTAATTTATAGATTGGCATTTTAATTATATAACGAGCTCACCATTGTTTATTTTATAAAAGCAAAAAAAAACCAAAAACAAAATGAATTTGGAAATTATCGAGTGATATCTTAGAATATTCAGCCAGAGTAATGAGTTGCACCAATTTAACAATTTACTCTCGATCAGATCGAGTTAGCGCCAGCGTCTAAACGGATCTGTGTCTGTGCGCCGTATATAAACGACAGCGACAAAATGTCACCACGGGGCGGGATATCAACCGACGAATCGTGCAAAATTCAAAGCAACTTGTGAAACAAATGCCAAATTGTCGTCGTCAGCACCAATCGATGCCGAGCAAATATGCATGCAAGCCATAAAATAACACAGAAGCCGCATTACGCATGCCTGCGAACGCATCTCTGCGCGCTGCTGACCAAAGGCTGACAAGTCTAGCTGAGCATTAAAAATGGCCAAAAAATATGATAAGAAAGATCAAAAGAAAGGCTCTTTATTTAAATTGTATATCTCCCATACAACTATATCTCCAGACGAATCTATTGAATGGCGCGCAGCTCAAGCCGTAAGAGCTGGAATGCGCGTTAAGACGGGCTTGTGGGAAACTCCATTCACAATGAGAGGGAAAATAGAGCTATAGCATTTTAATTTATAGAATCTCAAAAAGACAAAGATTATTGCATTAAAATGGGATCTTTAATTGATGGGCAATACCAATTGGTTTATTTACTTAATTTATAGCCTATGAGTTGCTAGCGGGAAGATGCCGATAAAATGATAAAAACTTGATATAAATATGTACTATTCTAGAAGCAACATGTCAAGTTTGGTGACTCTAACTTTATACAACTAAAAGATTTGCTCAATAAACAGAATTACTTTTAAACTTGTCAAGTTTTCACGCAGCTACTAGGAGGACCTACACTCCAGCTCTTATAGGCTCTGAGATCCTTGCGTACGGACGGACGGACAGACGGACATGGCTAGATCGACTTGGCTTTTTATGCTGCTGATCAAGAATATTTTATACTTTATGGGGTCATACAAGCTTGTATGTAATAGGCTGACATACATTTGCACAAAAACATTAAACCGAGTGAAATAATTATATTACAAACTTAACAAGCTTTTCAGGAAGCAAAAGTTGAAGCTTACGGCCATTTTATCTGTGAATCAGGGCGACTTTTGAAGAAATTGTGACTGTGTTGTTTTTAAGTAATCAAATTTTGGAAAGCAGTTTACTAAAAACTAAATAAACGTGTCTTATAAGAAAAAACTTTGACCGAGAAGCAATCTGGTTTTTGTAGCAGATGCAAGAACATATTTGATGCAACATTAAACATTACTTTAAACGTCTATAATGATTGAATCCTATATTTGCAAGATAAGGCAAGTCGCAGGCTTGCTTCAGAATCAAGAAGAAATGCATGAAAATATTGGAAATGCAATCATGACCATCAAATGCTGCACGCAACCAACGCAGTCATTTTTTCCTCATTTTCCAAATTTTTTAATTTTTGTGTAACTTTCAATCGAGCTTAAACTCTTTTTCCATCCCTTCTTGATGGAATTGGCTCAAATTAATTTCAAAAGACTTAAGGTAATTTTCAAGGATTGTTCTGAAAATTCGGTTCTTCGTTTCGGTTGAAATACGTATAACAGATTTTTGGGAAGTTTTAAGTTTTGTCCAAAACTGTTTGTCCTGGCTGACTGACTTATTGACTGACTGATTGGAGATCGATGCACAGCCCATAACGTAAAGGCTGGGAAGTTAAAATTTTCTCTGTAGTTACCTTATGTGATGAAGGAGCACGCTAAGAGGGGGTTTTCTGGAAATTCCACGCGCATGTGTGGAAAAATCGCGAGAAACGTTTGCTTACATACACACATACATACATACATATTTACATATATGCATACATGCAAACATGCAAACATGCATACATTCTTACATGCATACATGCAAACATGCATACATAAAACATACGCCTCCTGCTTCGCCCCTTGGTGTTCCTTCTGCTGCTTCCAGCGTTAAAGCCGCCTGCGCCTAATTCATAGGTGAAGCCTGCTCCTCCTCGATACTTACATTTTTAAGAATCGAGGAGGAGGTTAGCTTTAATAGATACCTTTTTTCTTATTTAAATTTGGCGCGCAACAAGACAAATTGGTATAGAAGATAATTCACATGCATACATATATATGCACATACATACATACACACACGCCCACACATACACATATACATTCATACATCCATAATTACATACACACATATCAAATCAATCAATTTGGCATCATTTTGTATATAATATATATTTCAACATGATCTATCTACTGTCTATACATAATCTATCTATACTATACTAGAGATACAAAGATATTGATATAGATATTAATCAACATAGGTTAGGAGAACGACGCGTTCATACATGCGGACGGGCATGGCTAGATAGCATTGGCTTTTAATGCTGATCAAGAATATATATACCTTATGTGGTCGAAGATGCTTTCTTCTGCCTGTTGCACACAGATGATACAAAATCATCACACGCTTTTTATCCATTTTCAATAGGGGATAGATTTTCAAAATTTGTATATTAACGTGACTTAATTACCTGGGCAAAGAGCTTTTCATCCAAAACCATTTATATTAATACTCAGAGACTTACAGATGGATGTTTTCACCAGATGGACTTTTACATATTTTTATGTTTTTTGATACCTCTTCAGTATTAATATTATTAATTTTGAGCTGAACAGCTTATTTGATTTGTGATATCAAAACTTTATCGGCAGACTAAAAGGCACATTTTGTTAATTATATTACAATATTTGCATTTTTATTACTAATAGTATAAAATAAGACGATATTCCACTTGGAGATCTAAAGAGTCCAAAAGTGGCTTAGATTTTGCGTTTATAAAAAATAATACTAATGTGTGTAGCCTTGCCGAGTCTTAGAATAAAATTGTTCCATGCATTTATTCCATATTTTTTACACGTCCGTTTATTTAATTTTACACTTAATAAAATGATGCAAAGTACAATTATTAGTGATTGAGTATTAAGCTTGATGCATCACGATCACCAAAATCATCGAAATGGTGTTCAAGTGTATTACTCCAAAAATATTTTTGAAATTCTGTCTACTATAGTTAATTTGGATTTCAATTAAATTTCTTTCAGTTTGCCAAAAGGTAGCCAATAAAACGAATTGTGAGAATAAATAAATATGTTGTATAAATGGCATCCGGTAATTATAAGAGTTTAGTCATCGCCGCCCGTCATAACTTCCATAAATTCTGAAAATAACAATATATGTACATATATTGTTGTCAAATTCGAACTGTGTTCTCTTAAAGCTTACCATCAAAGTCAACAGTGCCCGAGCCATCGGAATCAATTTCCTCAATCATCATGTCCAAGTCGTCGTTCGTCAGCTTGTCATCCAGCTCACGGAGAATTTCACGCAAAACTCCGGTTGTTATATAGCCATTGCCCTCCTTGTCGTATAGTCGAAAGGCCTCCTTCAATTCGGCCATCATTGCCTCGGCATCTTCCTCAACCAGGAAGCGTGCTGCCAGGGTCGTGAATTCCTCGAACTCAATTTGCCCCGAGCCATCCTCGTCGACCTCGGCAATGATTTCGGCTAACGTGGCATCGTCCAGCTGATGGCCCAACATGCTGAGGATGGTGCCAACCATAGCCGTGTTAATGTATCCATTTTTCTCCGGGTCGAATGCGTTAAACGCATTGCGCAGCACTGCGGAGCAGAGCAAACAAATTTTAAAATAATTAACAAATATAACAAAAACAAGTGCTGGATAAGAAGACCGCAGCTGCCGATCTACTTACGTGCAGTTTGTTCCTTTGTTAGTTCGTCCTGTAAAGAAATAAAGTTTAGATCAAATTAACTAAATTGCCTCTTAAAATTTGAAGATATTTCTAACCTGGCTGAATATTTGTATCATATCATAAATTGTGTAACACATGAGCCAGGCAGACTTAACTCTAAAGTATTAATAAACTAACTTGGTGGATAGTTCAAACCGGTTTACTTATTTGATTTATAGCTATGTGGTGGAAGCGTGGAAGTAGTGAAAGCTATATTTAATAAAAGATACCTTTAACATATATATACTATTCTAGAAGCTCCATATCAAGTTTGGATATTCCTTATATGAAAAGCTATTTGTTTATCAAAATATCTTGATCCAGCTTGACTTTTATAGATTTTACTATGCCGCGACCTACTTATCATCCAGAAAATGAGTTTTTGAATCGAAACCTTTTGATATTGTTTTAAAAATTTGTTTGACAAACTAATTACGAGCTTCACTATTTTCCTCATATATCCATAAGATACTATGCTATTGCTATCCATAAGATACTATGCATTCTGAGTGTAACAGATTGTCATTCTTTATTGTTTTGACATGAACTCTGTAAAAGGTCTCCGACCCCATAAAGTATACATATTTTTATCAGAATCAACAGCCGAGTTGAAAGAGCAATGTCCATTATCCGTCGCTTTGTCACAGAAATTGGGCCTATCGGATCACTATATTACATATAGCTGCCATATAAATAATCAGTAGAAAACTTAGTCTTTGAAAATAAGATCCATTTGTTTTTCAAAATTTGTATTAGTCTCACTGATTAATATTTTTTCAAAATCGGAAAACTATGTCGTTTAGTTGCACTTGAAGAACCGGTTAAAAATGCGATATTATATGATAGGATTTTCCTATTTTGACAACATTTGCTTCAAATGCCTGTCAAAATGATGGTGGAATTCTTCTCTTTCTCGATTTAACTTTCAAGCCAGTTATATTAGATTTCTAAAGGTGTTTATTCCTTGAAGTGTTCACTTACACACATGATCTCAGATTAATTGGTATTTGATGAGTACGGCTTGCAGTGAAAAGATCTTTTGTCGAAGAATTAAATTCCCAAAGACACACACGCACGCACAGTCTAGCCAAAGGATTAGCGAAATTCAGGAAGCAAAACAGAATGTTCTGTTTTCTTGGAGCACTTCCACCGTCACCGCCGTGAGAATATTCAACAAACTCGTGTCTTGAAGTGCTGCAGCTAAACTGTCACTGCCACAAACAACAAAACCTCCTGCTTTTTCTGTTTGGATGAGAGTGAAGGAATAATTTGGCCCACGGCGCAATCGCGAAAAGTTTTGTTTTTTTTATTTTTTTTGCAAAGGTGGGCAGCCCCGCGAGATGTCTGCATCGGCTGTGCAGGTAATGCGAAGCAACATGCACTAAAAGTTCTAGTTGATTTACCTGAATGAATAGAAAGATGAGCAACATACTATAATTTAAACCGAAAAAATTTCCATTTTCGCTTGTCATGATGTTGCGTAGCTTTGCACATTTCAGGAATTTCGTATGAAGGGGCATGTCTGTTTTTCATAAACCCCTCTTTCCCATCATTTATTTATAACTAAGAATGTGTTGATGCATTTCGCAAATACATGTGTATATGTTGCCACATAAATAAATGCTTAATATGCCGACGGGTGTGCCTATGGCCAAGTCCCGCGCTGCCATTCAAAAAATGTTATTACAGCTTACAAAAATTATACACAACATGAAATGTTTTCATCGATCTTCTTCTTAATTATTGGACTTCTTACTCTTAGGCTGTATCCCTCCCCGAATTTTCTATGACTTCAGAGATATAATAAATGTAAATATTTATAAACTCTAGCTTTAAATTGTGGAATATACAGACTCTAAAGCTTTCGCAACAGTTACAGTTTGCCTTAGTTACAAGTTTCATTTCTCAATAGCTGCGAAAAACTTGCGCTCAAAACGGAAGCGTTTATTTTCTTCATACACACAGTTAAGCTGCACACAAAAGATCTAAAACCCGCATTAGTTAATTACTTAGGTTAAACGAAAAAACAAGTTAATCTGCTCGAGTGAAGTGATTCCCAGTACAGGCTATTGCAGTAACATTTGCTGAAAAATCGCTGAACAATTGTAGACTTTACATTTTCAACCATTTTCCGCCGTTCTACCTTGAATATCTAAAAAATATCTTGAGACGTGGAATCAAAGCAGGTTTTCGCTTAGCCATGGCAACTGTCCCAACATCCGACTCGACAATTTGGTCAATCTCAGAAAAAAATACTGTTCCCTACCTGTACTTAAAAAAAAGTTAACTTGACTCAAACACATCCGGAGATTTTCGGCAGCGTGTAGATCCAAAAATGAAAAGCTAAGCTAGTTGCCGAAGTCTTACAATTCCTCTCATTGGGGAACGGCTGAGAGATTCGGTGTAAGGCTCCCATTTCTGAGAGATACATCCAGTACTCGGGAACTCCGTGAGGACATTGCCATTCCGACTGTTATGGAGAAAATCAACCGACACGTAGGTAGGTTCAATGGCTCCATAACCACGCGCCGACAGAACAGATCCCACACGAGAAACCTGTGGAGCATAGTAATCCTTCCTAGAAATTATGCCCTTATTTTATGTACTTGCTGTGTACTTTTTATAGTGTACTTGTTATTATGATAAAATACTTTTACACTCCTGAAATAAATTTAAAGTTCTTTGAACACGAGTTTGAGGCCCATCGGAGAGTAAACAAAAAAGGTACACACAAACACTGCTCACGATTTTTCCACAACTTCAAGTGAAATTCGTCAAAACATGCACCCTCACCACATAAAGTACCTATAGTCAAATGTTCAGCTTTCTAGCTCTTATGATAGATCGTAGATCACTAAAGAGTCAGCTACATATATAAATAAGTATATCTACCTAACCTTTCGCCCTCACCCGGTAATCGACTTATTGCGAAAGACTATAAGTTAGAGTAGTTATAGAAATAGTTAGTTTTGTAAAAATATGTATTAAAATGCTGTGTCTATGTTTAAACTTCATAATTAGAGCAGTCCCACGTTTAGCTCATAATATATTCCTAGATCTGCCGGAATCGGAGAAAGTTATGGATTCTTTAAGACAAACTCGTACTGCGTGGACACACTGAGTTTACAATGTCAAGTTTTTGGCAAACAGGCAGACGAACAAATGTAGATCGATCGGCTATTGATACTGACCAAGAATATATACACTATATGTATATGCTTTCTACTTCGAGTTCCATTCATTTGCATTAAATCAATTTACCCTTTTGACCCTCGGGGTCACTTTGTATTCCCTGAAAACATTGAATATGTATTAGCCTTCAACATTTGTACACCAAATCAGAAGGTTCTACCAATTAAATGGACGGACGAAATGTCGACAAAAAATTAGAAACTCGATTAACGTATTATATAGAAGAATATATATTTTAAATTTCAAGTCTCTATCGTTTGTAGTTTCCAACGTTTTTTGCCAGAAAGACATTTCTGAATCGACTCAGCTTGTTGCCCTGATCAAGAAGATATATACACTATATGGTCACACACTTGCACAAATCAAACTTTCCCTTCTTTAATTTCATTTTTCATGTAAATGTATATAATTAGTTTTTCAATGTACTAACCATAGTTGCGTTTCCCATTTTTAAATCGGCGTTTTATATATTTCTGGAGTGTCGATAAATGGAAAATGAAAGATATGGTCCTTCAGAAATAAATTCGGAACGCGAAAATGTCTATGTTTGATCGAAATGACAGAACTGAACTAACTGGACCAAGTCAAAACGATGATGGAGACACACGAACGGAAACATTCATAAATCGGACTGCACGTCAACGTTCGCATGCATGCTGATGTACATATATGTGTATGGATATTTATGGATATGTACGCAGATACATATGAGTAAAATGTCTACGTACACATGAACATTCGTAAGTGCAAACACAAGTAAGTAAAGCCGAATTGATTTGGCTACGAGGAAAATGGCGTGAAAAGCGTTTTGCGATGTCGACGTTGAAAAACCACTATAAATCGTCACAAGAAAATCGTCATAAGGAAGTGCAGCCAAGGCTGGCGCGTAGATGCCTTATATAATGTCCTACTAGCTTCTAGTTCTCTTCAATTGTGTTTACTTTCGAAATAATTTAGGCAGCCGACCGTGTTTAATCTCTCTATAAATTAATCTACACACGCAAGAGTGTGGGTCGGGATGCCTTGCTAGGAGTTTCTATGAGCATTCTAAGTATTTTTCAAATTTTTTGACGGACTTGTGGAGTTATCCTAAAATTGATGCATCAAAAAAAAAAAATATAACATTTGTTGTCTTCCATTAGGACAAAGTGTTTGCGAGTTCAAAATCGACAAAGGGCACACATATTTTTTTAAAATCGATTCTTTTAATGCTAGTATATGTCCTTTACCCTTTAAATAGGTACAATAATACTAGGCATTTCCGACAAGAACTCTCCGTCATTTATTCTCATATGCAAAACGGCATAAAATATCTCCTTTGATTCATTTAATGCTCATTTACACATTCCTGATATTTTATTTAAATGAACCCATCTTGAAATAAACAAACAAATATGTTTTGTCAATGGCAGCATATTTTATTCTTGATTCCGCATGCTACATTATTTTCACACATATTTTGCAAATATTTTAATAAATGTATAAAAAGGTCAATCGAAAAAAGTCTAGTTAAAGTGAGGAATACATTTTCAGAAAGACCTTTCAAAATAATTTTGTAGTCGATCGGAAAAAGTGCACAAATTACGTTCATAAAAACTTTGAAACGCATTCTCCCCAGAGGAAGCTTAGATTCTGCGGAATCTACGAACCACGCCTCAAAAGACTATTCATGAAGATCCTTGGATGTGAATTTTCCACCAACTAGAGATGAATAAAGTTTCTCCAACTCCCGTCTTAGCATCCTGCTTTATATAAGGTAAGCTCAGCAGATATTAGAGATTCTTTTCAAAATTTAATATAATTTTCCACAGGCGGAAAATGGGTGGAAAAGGTAAAACTGAAATGCATGCATCGCGCAAAAACAACTGTAAATCCATTTTATTAGTGGCGAATGTGCAACGTTTTGTGGTCAAGAGCAAGCCACTACACTAGTTCTATTTAAATTATAGTTTTCTGACAAATGTGACCTAGCTATGCTCATTTTGTAGCATGCGAATCGGTTGAAGAAACCACAAGCGACTATAAGACTACAAATTCGCAGCTAGTACCTCTATTGTAATAGAATGGGCAGAATAAAAGCACATTCGCATGCGTACTCCGACACGGATTATTTCAATTCAATTTCATTTATAATAAACGCAGTCCAATAATCTTATAGGATGAACAATTAGGAGATTAACATGAAAAGATGACAATGTATGTATGTAAAAAAAAAATGTATTTGCTTTTTGTTATTCTGCAAGATTATTCAAATGTTAGTTTTATACATAGGTACTCGGATCTGCTTTGACAAACATATTGAAACAATTATAATGTCATATATAAGGGGTTCAAATACTTTGGCTGTGCGCCGTTTGGCCGCGTATGCTATGAATATATTTTTAGGCGTATTTAAAAATAAATACAGTTGCAATCATTCCGTTTCGGAAGAACACGTTTCAACTCACGTGCTGTGGGGCAATAATCTAGCGGATTTCATAGCAATGTGGGTCTAAGAGAATACATTGCCAAATTCTATAATTGTACACACTCATCTAGCTAATTAAATTAGCAATGATTTCTTTTAAGATACAATACTTTTGAAACGAAAAATTTAATAAAATTCGACTTTAGTTCAAACAAGAAATTGTAAAACTATAAATGGTATTGATCTTTTGTACAAGGTTTGAACTAATTCATTATTAACTATAAATCAGTTTAGCAATCATAGGATTGATTCCTGAGTATAATATAAATTTTATAAGGACTTCGTCGATCGATCTTTCGTTTTGAGCATTGTATACTTTTTGCGCTAATTACTAATTTTTCTGCTTAATTTTTTCAGAAGATAGTTCTTAAAACTGAGACTAGTTCGCATAGAAGCAGCCAGGCGAACATGGCTATATCAACTTGGCTGTTAATGTCTGTCTCCCCTAATGCGATGACAAAATAATAATACTCTCTAGGGTATAACATTAATAGTTCATGGGTCCGACTATGAATTTGGATGCCCCTCGGCTAGACCTCTAGCTAAGCAGAAACACATAGTGCAGCATAAAAAACACTCAAAATTCACATTCAAAAAAGAACATGCATATGATAATTTATTTTATGGTATCCAAAATAATACTTAGTGTGTGCTACTCGAGTATCCTTATGTCGAATTTGGTAATTCTAGCTCGTAAAACTTTAGAGTTCAAGTCAAGGATATTGATGCTGAGCTGGATTAAGCTCTCTGATCATAAGGGCTATGAATATTTACAATTTAGGAAATAGTATAATCCGAATTTTTATTTAAATAGTAATATTAGTTTAAATATAGTTTGTTTATTTTTAGAATTCTTCTGATTTTATGTTTGAGCAGACTTTTTTTGTATAAAATGATGTGTTTGTTTTTTGGTAAGGACATGCATATTATTACGCATACGAAATTAATTAGGCTACCAGTTGCTTAAGAAATCAAAGCCTTTGGGCATTTGGACTTTTTCTGGCAATAGTTTACAGTTCTCAGAATGTTGCTCCTTGGAGTCGTTTTCAAAATCATTCGAATCAGACGATATGCTTAGCAGAGTGTTCTTTGATCCGAAATTGCCTAAAAGATTAAGCTTCTCATCTGCGACAACATTAATCGCTTTAGTGCAATTATTTGAATTCCTTCGCTTCGGTTCCTCCTCTAATAAAATTATTTGTTTTTGCTCATCTGGTTCGGGTTCGGTTAGCGATTTTTTCTTAATTGGTGGTATTTTTTTAGGGCTCACGTGAACGCTAGCATCTGGAATGTTAAAACTCTTTCCAATTTCAGATAGATTCAGTTGCGATTTGGTTTTATAACTGAATGGAAATGAATGTTCATCACGATAGTCTCCAATGTGCTCATCGTGGAGAATCTTGAAGCCAACATTTTGATGAATAAATGTGTATATATATAGTCTGTCATACGTATATATAATATCATGATCCTGGCATTTTGAACCTTTTTTTCTGTTTTGTACGCTCAATCTGGAGGATTCTTCTTTGCTGGTTTGTGATTTAGAAGTCGGCTTATTATAATACCTTATAGTTATTTCTGGTTTTATTATAGTGTCATTAAGTATATTATCCTGCTCAGCTGGATTTAACGTAAGCCACACATGATCATAAGCCGATATCACTTCGCTCATATCAAAGGCTATCTTTTCAGCCACCGGATTAAGTTTTGCAAAATAGCCGTGTAACCACTGATTTGTGGACATTTTAATTCTAAAAAAAAAAATAAAAAGAATATATGAAAATGTATTAAAATATATGTTCTATTTGAATGCAATGTTAACTCAAGCATTTATAAACAATAATATAATGTATATGTATGTAGATGTATAGTAAATTAATTAAAATTAAGAATGAAATCAAGCCAATCAACAATATTATCTTCTACACATTTTCCTGTCTCACTAAATTTAACCCTCAATATCGAGGTGACACTCAATTTTTATTGATTAATCAACACTGTTTGTTTGTCCGCAAGTACGCAATTTTTTGCCGCTATTGAAGACTGCCAAGTTCACCAAGGGGTAACGACTGCAATAATCTGCACCTCCGGTCCACTACTCATGACCTCCTTTAAAAGTGGACCCAAGCACCTGGAATGCTCTTTGTTGTTGTCTCATTCCGCTAACACAACTTTTATATGATAGGATAAAGGGGTCTATTGGAGCATTATTTCTTGTTAAAATTGTGCAATTTGTTCAATGAACAATTCTTGTATTTTGTATTTGTTAATAATGCGTAAAATGGCCCCTGTTAAAAAGTCATTAACTTTTCACAAAAGATTCTACATTTCCTTACATTTCTTTCTCAGGATCAGGTCTATAAATTGAAAGGCTTCCTACTAAAGCCTTATACAGTTGGAAAGGCAGTATACCATATAAATAGCTCCCACAAGAATGGATTGCTTGCACGTCGAATTTCTGCATATCAAATTTTGTTGTAATTGATGATACCTCTCCCTAACTCGCCATTAAGAGTTCAATTACACATCTCAATTATTCCAACCCATACATATCCATTATTATTGTATTTCACTACATTGCGTTGAACCTTTCGTGTTAGCTGCGCTTATTCAAACATAATAATACATATTTAATCGTAGGTCTATAGAGTATTAATATCAATATATATATAAATATTTACTTTTATATTCGCTGGGATCGCCTTTACAAAAATGTTTACTTTTTTTCGACTACAATCTAGACAATAGCAGTGATGGGAAAACATCGAAATATCGACACTTTCTTCGATGTTTGCCGATGTTTCTTGGTGTCACCAGCCGATGTAGGAATATCGATGTGTATTAAATTGCACTAGGGGGATATCTGAAACAGTTACAAAATTGGGGAATTTAATCGTTTTTAATTTGAATAATTTTGTGAGCGCCAATTTTAAATAAACAACATATATCGATTACGGCATTGTTATTTATTAGTATTTTAAGTCAATATTTATATGTTCATTATTTAATTGCTTCTCTGCTTTGATAAACTAATCTCTGTGTGTCCGCCCGTCTGTCCCTATGTAGTAACGCGTCGGCCTCAGAACCTTTAAGAGCTACAGACTTGAAACTACAATTCTAGTTTCTGATAATCGTTAGCTTGCCCTGTTTCTAAGCGATCGTACAAAGTAAAACTAGTATTTTATATAAGACAGATGCCCATAACAATGGACACAATCCCTTTTTGGTGTGAAATTACCTAAGGATAAAGGTTTTCATTTCAGGAATATTCTCAGGTCCAGGAGAGTAAGAAGATTTTAAAGAATTTATTGCTGAAATGAGAGAGAACTAAAAATATAGAACTAAAGTGAGACAAATCTTAAGGATACGACAAGTTGTTAGACAAAAACAGAGCATCATCAGAATCATTGCTTGTTTGATCCATCCCAAGAGGAGAAAAATATGGAAAAATTGATTGTCTATTAACACGCCTGCTTGCTAGATTCGGTGATCGCACCCCAGTAAAGGTTTACCAAAGTTGATATTTTCTCTTTCAAATTGTTTTTGTAACTTGACTTTTGTCGATTAATATTATATTGTACAGCGCAAAGTGATTTGCTTGAATTGAATTCTGTTGTGCTTGGCCTTTCCTGTATATACTTCTTTGTGAGTATATGCATGTCATGCTATTCCTGCAATTGCGTAATCTAATCTGTTGCGTTATCATAATAAAATTGAATAAAAAGGTGGCCTCATAACTGATAATGGGCGTTACTAATTTGGTAAATTAGCCAGACAAATCACAATCCTGTTTAGTGCCCTGAGAACAACTTGAAAAGTTGACGGTTATCGCTTAGGCATTGATTTTTACACTCTGAATATGTTTAAATCCAAGTCATTCGATTTGAATAATGAAGAAATTACAAGACAATCCGAAAAACTTTATCAACCACGCAAAATCCGATGGCTGAAGTACATCATACAACCAGCTGCAATTGGCTTTGTGCTACTTTTAATAATTTGCAATGTAGACTTTTCAAGTGAACCGGCACAGAAAAGTCAGGATTTTAAGGATTTCAAAATATCACGAACGATATCGTCTCAAGTAAAAATTGATTTGTACAAATTGCCATTCTCAAAATACGCTGAATGGTGCCAAACACAGTGCAGCACGCCAGAGAGCCTTAATTGCAATCGTAATTTCAGTCAATTGGTTTTGAAACATGCCAAAAATAAAACGGATTGCAATTATCATTTCACACTACGCCTCAAAAACTATCACTTTCCTAGGGCAGTAATTCGGAATAATACCTTTGCTGGTGCCTACAGATTGCAGAGTTTAATTTTAAACAATTGTGTTCTGAAATATATTAATGATGACGCATTTGATCAAAGCAGCTTAAGAAGTCTTCTTACTATAGAGTTAACTAATACCCGGCTCAAAAATATAAGTAATAACGCATTTCGAGGCCTGAATAAACTATCTAACTTCACACTGATCAATCGAAGAAAATCATTGCGATGTAAAGGATTCATGTTACCACTGGCAAACACCCTATGTTCAGCAAAAATTCATCAGCAATATACACAACATAGAATATACAAGCCTGAATACTTTTTCGGCGACGCAGATTATAAACGTCTCAAGGTCTTAGATCTAAGTGGAACCAATATCGGCGGATCAGCAGAAACCAACAGTTTTGAGCACATGCCAGCCTTGCAGTATCTAATTTTGGCAGGTTGTAGACTGAGCAGCATAAGTTTCGATGTAAACATTGGCTTTGGTGCTCTGCGATACTTGGACTTGAGTGGAAACATGCTTGCCGAACTTAGTCCTCAGTATATATTGAATGCAATACAAAGTGGTATTACGCTGAATCTCGCGGATAATAGTTGGGAATGTAGCTGCACTAACTTAGATTCCTTAAATTCATCAAATATAAAGTCTTGCTTTGGACAGATCAGAAAAACGCGAAATTTAATAAGCACCGATGTTCCGGATAGCTATGAAACCACCGATGAAACGGACTCCACGTCAACCACACAAAGGCGCACAGCTGCCATAAAAACTACCAAAAGTACCTCTACGCTTAGCACGGCAACACCGGCGCCGACTACACGGAATACCTCAACAACCGAATTGGATATAAGTACGACCGAATCCATAGACGATGAGCATCCTCCTCTATTCGATCATATCGTATGCGTTAATGCGGCCAAGGAAACTATAAGTAACACCACAGTATATTACGATGCACTAATAAAAATTGAAGACGATTCTGACAGCGCAGTGCACGTTAGTCTATCACAGTTGGACTCTCAGTTTTGGAGCATTATCTATTTTTCAAATGCAAAAGATATGGGTCAAATGTATAATAACGATGCCGTTGAAATATTAAATGATACAACTGTTAAGATTAATTATTTAAGCTGTGCCACCGCGTACGTATTTTGCCTGTTGATAGAAGAAAATACGACCTCGCCATTTAATTGTCGGTCACATCAAACTAGGGCCTGTAGCGGGAAGCAAATGTGGTTTGAGGCAAACAGCTCGCTGATTGTAGGTCTTGGAATAGTCGGTATTCTATTGTGCGTAACCCTGGGGTTATTCGTAATGTACGCAGTTCTCTGGCTTCATCCGACCTGGCTATGCGGAAGTAAACGCTTGCAACGTCCGTCGCCGGGATCTTCCATTATGGTTCTATTGCCCAGGAGTTCTGATGCGGAGCTATACAACACAATAGGGTAAGTATATGAGATTGAGGTCCGTTATATGTGTGCTATATTAATAAAAACAATTTTCATTCAATAGTTACCCAAAATCCGAAAGCAACATTAACGAATATGCAGCATACTATCGCCATTTAGAACAAGCGAATCTATACCAAGGAGAATCAAATAAGTACAATATACCCCCCTTGGAACGCGCCCCATCCGTACCACCATTCGGAGAAAAAAATAAAATATCCACAAATCCGAACAGTTATACATATGAATGCTTTGAGTTATATGAGGAGCTTTACTAATCACTATAAGACCATCATTTAAATAAATTGCATAAGTTTAATAAACAAACTGAATTTACCCGGCGTTCACGCAAGCCAATCTTTTACGGAAGAATAGTAAAGCTCGTAACCGTTGAGATGGGTAAAAATATCTAAGAACAGAATTTTTTTTCATACTCAAACTCATTTTTGATCGATTGTTCCTGAACAAACCCCCATACTCGTGATATTCTGATGAGATTTGACCAACTTATGGAGGTGGAAAATATATATGCTTGAGGGTAACATTTTTGCATGAATTTTGACCAAGAATAATTTAGATGCCAAACTTGATCTGGAGGCCAAATGAATTTGAACAAAGATGTTTGTAAATTAGTTTGAGGCCCCATCTTAAATTGCAGCTTCATTCAGTCCGTCAGTCAGGACAAAAAGTTGTATGTATACAGATATATATATATATAAAGAAATATTTGATTATTTGTGAATATTTAGTTATCATAGTTATGATAGTATTGATTGGGCATATGAATAAGCATTATCTTTATCAGCATATACAGTTTATGTCAACGATAAGCCGATACCAAATGCAAATGCCATTTTCTCAATATAGTATTAATCAGTTGGCAAATGCGTGACAGTTGTGTTAAAGCTCCATTACAAAAATGCAGATGGAAAAGAAGGCAATGGATTATCAAGAAAACAAAAACAGCAGCAAAAGTTGCGATCCACTCAGGTAATTTTCTAATGGTAAACCAATTTTCAATTCATAAACAAGCCATCAGAAATTTATATGCATATTAAAAGCGTATAAATGCTTTAATGGGCTTATGAAAATGTCCTACTTTTTCGTCTTTTATGTGTTCATATCCGTTTATAAAACCTTTGAATTTAATTTAAAGCCAAAATATTGCGGTGCTGTGTATCATTCAGAAACCTTAATAATAACTTTTTGAAATTATTTCAGTTCAGAAAAGCCCAAATCCGATAAATTAAACGATTCGAGCACGAAAATATTTTCATGGATTTTGCTGACGTTTTGTCTCGGATTATTTATATGCGCCATAGTTACATATATCGTATGTCGGGTGAACAACGCGAGCAATTCTGTTAATTTGGAAAGAAACACTGACAACAGTACGGGAGACAGCTTTGAGAAAAATGACGACAATTCATACATATCATTGGGGTAAAAAAAAAATGTTTCATATATGCAGAATTTAGTTTTTCAAACAATTATTTCCAGACTTCTTACAGACGAATCGAAACAAGGCTGTTGCGAAATATCTTGCCGCATCGAGTGCTACAACAGCGAAAACATTTACGCAGAGACAGCTAATGTAATGAATGCAAGTAATTGTGCAGAAATTAGCTCCTTGGTAATATCTAATCAAATGCAGCAGTACATTGAGGATGATTGGATTGATGTGAATTCGACGGTGCAAAAAATTGCGCTAATCAGAAGCCAATTTACGAAAATTAAAACCGGTGCATTTAGTTCGACGACGTTTGCAAAGGTTTCACATATGACATGGCTGGACCTAAAACTGAATGAAGTTAGCAGTGGAGCTCTGCTGGGCCTCTACGCCTTGAGGAAATTGGAAATCGATTTTAAATTTCCCAACATAGGGCTAACTTTCTTGCAGCCCGTTCAGCTGACACTTACACACCTGAAGATCAATTGCGGCATACCTTTCGAAAGTAGTTCAAATATTTTCGACAATATATATTTGGGAAATTTGATTCAGCTTGACTTGAGCCATAACACCTTTAGCGGGCCTCTTAGCAAACAAATATTCAGTGGAACTCCGAACGTCACTTACCTCTACCTAAGACACTGCTCAATAACTGCAATCGAGGATAATGCGTTTGAAGATATTGCCAATAATTTGATTTTAGTTGACCTCAAGCACAATTTGTTAACCAATATCAACGCCGATATACTCGCTATCGGCAACAGGCGCAGAGTATTCGACGTTGAGCCCAACAACTGGCACTGCAATTGTCAACTACGATCATTGATCAAATTCTATAATGAAAACAGAAATCTATTTGCAAGTACCCCATATTGCCGCATGCCGTTGAACCATTATGGCAAAAGTTTTGATGAACTGGAGCTCGACTGCGATGCAACAACAAAATGGCAAAGTGATATGCTTTTAACTGGAAATGCAACAAGGAATATTGCAGTCCCAGATGTAACTCCAGAAACAGATCACGAAGAGTTCCACTCCGGTGAGGAAAATGTAAAAAATGTAAGCATTTACGGTCCAATAATTCAATTGAGTTGCTCGCAAGCTATTTCTATAACTAGCTCCGATAATCGCAGCAAACGAGATGTTGATATTGAAAAGAATCAATATTTTGTTTTTGAGCCTCCTACTTATGATCTCGAATTGGAACTATTGCAAAATTATAGCGTACGCGCCTATATAGGTGGATATATTCAATCTGACAACTTGAATATCATTTGGTTTACGGAAGAGTTGAACACCTATACGACTTTTGCGACTTCAGCCGAAAGGGACTACAATTGCATGAAGTATGAAGAGCCCTATTTGATAACTGATGCGCTGAAGGAAAATCGTACCTACACATTTTGTATGATGTCTATAAATGTTGTTGTTATATCGCCATTATTTTGCCAGCCCTTGCATATACCCATGGCTCGACAAGATAATGATACAGTTGACATCTGGATTGCTGAGAGCGATAAACAGTTTACCATCGGAATGCTTTGTCTGATATTTTTCATATCAACAATATTTGGCGCCGTTTTTGCTTATTTAGGCATTAAGTCCTTCCCCCATCTCTTAGAGGGTTCAAAAAATGTCATGGTCATCAAGGAATCCGAGAAGACATGTTGCGTATCTACCATAGCTGAATCACAATATAACAAACCTTCTTTTAACAAAGATCATATGCATAAGGGTTCATTTGGAATGGCAGACAAACGGTAAGAGTCCCAAACGACTTTTATAAAAGTGGCTAATTAAAATGTTCTCTTCATCCAGGCCATTAGAAGCATCGACAAGCGTAAAGATACCGAGTTCATGTAGCCTTAGCTCCTCATCGACTTATTTCGAAGAATCTTTTGCAAATACCGAAGCTCAACCCATCGAGTACGAGATGCCTATACCATTTAATGAAACTCGTAAGCTTGGCACCTGCGAAGATACGCCCAGCTCTCCCCCACCTTTGCCTAAGCGCAACTCGAAGCTATCGCTGTACGTGGACCAACAACTCCTGAAATGTGAAAAGGCGTGAACTAATAAAATTAATTTATACACTTTAAAAAATCAAATACTTACAAGTATTTGTATATGAAATATATGTATGTATGAAATGGGTTGTTTTGTCTGACTGTTAGGTAATGAATGCACAGCCCAAGCCGTAAGGGGAATCCCTAAAGCGAACAAATCCACCCTCAACAGTGAAACATAGGCGTTTTCAAAGGTCTTTGCGAACAACGTTAATTCCAACACTTACGATGTGCTCCCAGCTCATTATTAAAGATTTATGTTAAATAAAATTTGAGACGTGAAGCTTATAACAAAAAGGTAAATTTAAATTTGATTGATTTCAAAAATGTTAAGAATAAAACCTTAGACAAGGGCGAAATTATGCCATCCAAAGTGTGTTAATACCAAAAATAAATATACAATATTTTGGATCTGTATATACCATACCATATTTGACGCTCTTATTATCTCCGAGATGGGTCAAAACACGTAATCTAAAAATCGATACTTTGCACAAAACTATTATAATAATGGTTATCATTATCAATGAGTACATGTTATAATAACAAGACTGTTCAAGTAGGAACTGCCCGACAAGGGGTTACTGCGAATCTGGCCTACTATATGCTTTCCAATACTATGGCAAAAGATTTCGCTTCGGTGCTTATTGTCCGATCTTTAAGATACTTGTAGTACATTTATATGGCAGACATATGTGTGCAATTGCGAAAGCCACATTTTGGAACTCTTAGAATACATCAATTTTTGAGTGTACCGGGGAGAGTGTACTTACCAAATTTTGTGACTTTAGCTCCGAGATATGATCAACCACAATTTAAATATAAAATATGACAGCGTAGACTTTGGACTATATTTAAATTCCTCTACCTATATTTATATCTGTACCCATATGTATCTACTGTAACTATGTACCATCAATTTTTTTGACTGTAGTATTCATGGATCAAAAAATCAATACACATGTAGCGCTTATCTCCTGGTCGAATTCTCCAACTACTTAAATATTCTGATATGGATAGTGATATGGCATTAGCGCTCGTATTAATCTTATTTAGCCGCGCATTTAGTTAACTTTAAGCAGTCGCGACGTGAACTAGTTCGAATTGTTTGCCCATGAAGCACTTTAATAACAAATATGCATTCTTTTCATTTGAGCTAATTTATAGAATCGACAATTGTTTAGTGAGCTGGTTCTGAAAACAATTTGAGCTTGGAACAATAACTTCGCTGTAATGCTGGGAATTTCGGCAAAAAATCAATCGCGATCCCTGTTTGTTTTCTACTTGTTTCATGTTTGGGCTGGTTTCTCAATATTCGCGCATGATATTGGCTATTTCAGCCTTGCAAATAGGTCAACGGAATCCAAAAATGACGGATTCGATATAAAGCACGCAATCACCATGTTCAAAGAGGCTATCCGAAACATCAGGTAATTTAGTACATAGAGAAAAATTATTGATTTTTGCATTCATGTGTCTAAAACTTTATATATTGATTGAATGATCTTGACAACATTTTTGGTCTGCTCCTTTAAAGAGTGGCATTTATCGTCATTTTAAATTTGGACAATACTTTATTTGAGCTCTCCGTCTGTCAATATGCGCGATACGCATTATGCCGCGATAAACATTTTATGTTATCATTATTATAGCACGTACATATTTATATATCATCGTGTTTTGCTAATGGATGCCGAATGTTTGGGCTCTATTTATGCCCTGAACCCATTGAAAATGAGGATATGAGTATATTGGTTTTGGGCAGATGCAGAATGAAGCACGACCAATTCATAATGAATATATTTTCTTGGTCAGCATCAATAGCCGAATCGGTCTATCAACTCGGCTCTTGATGCCGATCTAGGTTTAGCAAATGTCTCAACCTATACAAGGATATTAAAAAAGTTTATTTCTGGCTAAAGTTTAATGACAAGCAAGCTGTTATCGTTTTGATAGAAGATGGTTCAGGGTATCTCCAGTCGGGCACTCTCAACTAGAGCACTCTTATTTGTTTTATTTTGCAGTGATTATCTTGGAGATGCAGATACCGGGCCACCGATGCCACCAAAATGCTTAAAGGTCCAGTGCCGTATCATCTGCACCAATGGGCGGCAGGGCGAGATCGCGCAGGATATATCACTTGCGACAGCAAGCCCAGATAATGTGAGTATATACTTCTTTACAATGATTCAATTTTCTAAGCATTGTTTTCCATCAAACTAGAGTGACCCGTGTGATATCATTGACGAGCTGTACCTATATAACTATAGATTTTCCAATGCAGTGGTACCAGTCGGATTTCTATCTACATACACCAATAAGATCAAACAATTATATTTGGGCATCTCAAACATACAGGCCATTGAGAACGGCGCATTCGGCGGAGGCATATTCAATCGTATAATTCTTGAAGACCTTCATCTAAATAAAATTGACAAGGAATTTCTAGCCAACGTGTCAGGAGATTTGAAAGGAATTTCAATTATCCAGCATAATAGGGCACTGCAATGTGTTTATCCCGATTTTTTGGATTATGTGATGTATCAACTTGAATATCTAAGGCTTCAAGTTGGTATCGATTGTGTACGAAATGTGACGGGCACTGATCCGATCTTGGGTGCACTTACTTATGCAGATTTCAGCTACAACAACTTTACTGACCAATTGCTCAAAGACACGTTCATCAAATTAACCATGGTCGAGACGCTGATTCTGTCGCATTCAAATATTGAGTATTTACCAAACTATATTTTTCAAGGTAAGCCGATTAAAAAAGTATGTATAAAAATAAATTACATTTGTTTAGTGAACTCTACTCCCGTTAATGTTGATTTTAAACAATGTAACTAATTTGAAAGCGGACGGACAGGCAGACCCAATCCGACCCCATAAAGTATATATATTCTTGATCAACATAAATACCCGAGTCTGCCTGCCCGTTCGTCCGTATGTAACATATGAACGGAAGGATCCGACAACCTTTAAGAGCTTAATAAAGCTCTTATAATAAGTTGTGGCTTTTGCAGAGTATCAGTTAGCTTAAAACTGCGTTCAGACAACTAGTAGCTGGGTATCCCCCAGTCGAGCAAGCACGAGTAGAGCACTATTATGAAATTTTTAAAATAATGTTCTTCTTTCTGCAGGTTTGAAATATTTGGAATATTTGGACATATCATATAACAAGCTAATGACATTATCCAAAATTATATTTGGTGTTCAGGAAATTTCAAATAATCTGAGAATAGTCGCAAACTCCAATAACTGGCACTGTGACTGTCAATTGCAAAAGGAAATGAACGAGATTTTCATTTATCACAATTCAAAACTAGACATGTTTTGCACGTCTCCAGAAGAATACATGAACTGGATGGTTTTCGATGATCGACTTTGTGAAAATTATTCAGAAGTACCTCCATCTGCTTTCATGACAACGACAACCCCGAGAATTGTCACAACAACAACTACCTCTACGAGCCCGAAAACAACAACGGATAATCATATTTTTGTTCCAACACTGTCAACAGCTGGCACCGTGATTCCCAATGAGATCGTATCGTTGGAGTGTATTTCCACAAACAATACATTAAAAACTAATGAGAACAGACAGAATATAAGGTGGCCGCAGATCAACTTCTCCCCTGCAGCTTTTGGGGCACTTACAGTAAAAATTAGTGTGGAACAGGGCGAAAGCACAAGCGCTCTGTCTTTTGGCCTCTTTTGGTTCTCGAAAACTACAAAGGAGTATTACATGATGGAACTCATACCAGACGAGTTTGGACTTGGTTGTTATTTTACAATGCCACTGCAGACAATTGTGACAGACCTAATGCCAAACGTAGCTTATACATTTTGTTTGGTTGATGATCAGCATAACACTGTTTCTCCTTTCAGCTGTAAGTCAGTTCATATTGGTGGTAATTTGGAGGCATATTACGATGCCTGGCTTTCGAAAGGAATGCGTGCCAAAGTAAATACCAGTTTATACATTTTAAATATTTTATGTTAAGCATAGTGCGTACTTTTATCCTATATTGATGGTGGGGAAATCTAACTTACGATGTTAATATGTTGAAAATCCTATTCAAATTTATTCATAGGGTATATCTCTGCTGATCCTTGGTGTCGTTGTATTCATGTTGGTGGGCATAATGCTAATGTTTTTGGTTTTGAAGAAGAAACCAATCTGGGTAAAGGGCAGCAAGCGGATCATCAAACCAAATTCAAGCTCCGGCGAAATTGTCGTCTTATCACGTGGTAATACAGCGAAAGATTTTCTGCATAAAGAAAAAATGATTTCTACAAAAAATGAGCATCGGTAAGTAAATTTAAAGAACATATTGAATCAAATGAGATAACGGCATAAGGTTCGGTAACTATTGTAATTCCTTACTTAAAGGTTCAATTCAAACATTCCGAGGCGCAACTCAATGGACAGCCTGGCCAGCAGTAATAGCTACATAAGCCCAAACTTATATGAAGTCATCCCGACATATATAACATTCGATAAAATACCACAAGGAGATGCACCAAGCCAGCCAGGATTTGAAATATTTAATAACTGGCATTCATCTTTCGCTCATAGAGGCAGCGTCAGGTACGCACAAATTACGCCGCGAACGAAACGTATTTCAAGTGATCCATTGCCAGCTGTTCCTGATTCTTGATAATACCCATTTAAGAATCCACTTGAATTCACTTTGACATGTAGGAAGACACACTATTGTATTTCACCTAAACAATAAAAGCTGTTGTGCCTAAATTGTTCAAATCTAATTTAGTATAACTCGAAAAGTATTAAAAACGTCGTCAATAAGGACTCAACGGTACCTTGAAACAGGAGTAAGTTATCGATTATTAGTAACAAACTTATACTGCGCGGGCACTGGTAGGACCTACGTTCCAAGTTTTAAGACTCTAGCTCTAATAGGTTCTGAGATCTTTGCATTCATACATACGGACGTACGGACGGGGCGACAGGCAGACGGACATGGCCAAATCGATTCGGCTATGGATGCAGATCAAGAATATATATACTTTATGGAGTCGGAGATGTTTCCTTCTGCCTGTTACATACATTTGAATTTTTAATGGGTTCAGGGCATGAAAACAAAAGAGAGCACATTCAACATATTCATTGTGCAAATTAACCCTTGCACTTATATACTCGAATACACCCCCATATAACCCCTTACTGTATATCTCTGCTAATGTTTTAAGTACAGTCTTTTATACACACCCTTGTAATAATAAATTGATGAAGATACACTTGCTAAAATGCTTACATTACATATGAAGATATAATCTGGAAGGTTAATCTACACACATATCGGAGATCCAAAAATAATCCACAGTCAATCATATAGCATTAAAAAAATGTTCCAATTTAATAATTTATCATTAAAATTTTGAAATTAAATTATATTTTTGTGTATATGGTATTACGTATACACTTTTCAAACCTTATGGTATAACCTTGATTGTAAATAAGAGGCTAAGAAAAAATCCATTATGCAACAGACATGTTACTTATATAATTTAATAAATAATATTCTAAGTCGATATATAAATACGTTTAATGTTATGTTAATGTGAATCGTGATCATATGGACATTTTCTGTGCTGCCTATAGAATACCTATTTACATGTGTGCTCCTCGAGTACTTTTGTACATACATCGCATTTAACCTGGCAGCACCAGTGAAATTTGCAGTTGCAGCGCTCACGAACGATAATATTTTTGGTGTTGTATCCTCGGCCACAGCAAAGTATACCACAGCCATCAAGCCCCGATGAGGACTTGTTACAGACGCGGCCGTGCGTACCTAATAAACAACATAAATTAGTATTATATAAATATATACATAAATTCATACACTGCATATGGGGAAAAACGTTTACCTGACCATTGCAAGAGACGATTAGTCCGGCACCAGTCGGGGCTCTCATCCAAATAAATTAAATCGTGGGCAGTTGGAACCTTAAACTCGCTGTTTTTTACCTGTAGACGTCCACGTTTATTAAGCTTTACTTCTGTAGCCTCTTCATATTTTTCACGCAAATAATCACCTACAAAATACAAATATTTGTTATATGTAAATGTATAAAGTTGATCAACTATGTGTGACTATATATAATTTTATTAATTTACTGTACTATACATTTGGAAGATTTTCGTATTCTCAATTATTTGCTGCCATGTAATTTATAAACTTAATTCACTTAGATTTTATGTGGCCAACATTTCCCAATTTCTAATCTACCCCTTAATGGACTTACCAATTTCTCTTATGGATGATAATTGCTGCCAACACGTGATCAAGCTGCAAGAACCCGAGACACCGTGGCACTTGCAAGTAATGCGTGTTTTCTTAATGACGGCCTGTTTGAATTAAAAAAAGAAAAAACACATTAATTCAAAATGTAACTTGTGTATTAATATTTTCACTCTACGCTTTACTACTTATTTAATTATTTATTGAAAAGTAAAACTTCTTTCATTAAACTTTCGCGTATTAATTTAAAATAGTAAAATAGAATATACAGAGCAAGTATCTTCAATCTTATAGCTATTGCCATTCCCGGTCCCATCCATCCCACATCAAGAAGAAAAATAAATAAATTCGAAAGAAATATCCACTACTTAAAGCCACAATTTTAAAACAATTGTATTTTTAACCTAGAGACCCCAATTCTAATAGGTAGTTTAGTTTATTAATTAAAACCTTATAGAGTCTTACCCTTCGGCCTGCTTCGTTGTTGTGCAAATTCATTAGACTCCGAGCCTTCATGTTAGTATTGGACAAAAAAGGAGCCTCACCACTGACGGCCCGTTGATTCTTACGCTTGCGTTTACGGCGCTTGGCGTTGGTGTCTCCGTGGAAAAGCTTTGAGTTTAAAATTTCCCGATTGATTTTCTCCTGTTATAAAAAAGGTCGGAGATTGACGAAATATTATATATTTATTCCATATGAGGAAGTATGCACTTTTATTAATGTTCCTCATTGCTAATTAATATAGGCTTCTAGCCAACTAAACTACAAGTCTCACCTGTAATTCGAGCATTTCTGTTTCTTTTAATTTTGAATTTAGAATTTCCTTGGTTATTCTCTGCTGAAGCTCCAAAAGATCGTCGGGGCTAGTGCGTGCCTCTTCATCTTGTTTGGGCGGTGCAAATGATGTGGAATTTATTGTTGAATTTGTATCAAGAAATATATCTTTGTTTTTATTGGTGGCATTGGCCTGAAGTTCATACAAAATGGCTGACGTTGCATTATTATCAGTCAAAGCTTCATTGGGAAGCTGTTTGGTAGTTTTGGAATTCGTTATGTTTAAATTGGACTCTCCAGTGTCCTTTGTGCCATTAGCCTCCATCTGCTTGCGTTTTTGTTGCAATTGATGCGTACCACGCCGCTCGGGATTGCCGGCACCGCGAGTTCCGCGACGTGTCTCCTTTTCGCGTACATCAATAAAATCTGTTGCAAATCTAACAATATATATATATATAATTAAAATATAATACAATAAATTCTATTCTACCAAACGGCAGTTGATAGGTTTGCATAATTTTATAATGTGGTGAACCCATAAATCAAATTTGTACTTACTTGTATGCGTACTCGAGATTGTCCCCGCAGCCTCCCCACGTCCAGTCATCGTGTAACTGTTTGGGTCGGGAACCTCGTGAACAGCCGCACGACGTTAATTGACCATCTCTGCAGGCGCGAGCAATAAAACTGGTCACAGTAGCTGCAGCTAGTGCATGTATGAAGGCCATTTCTGGTGACCCTATAATGTTAACGGCAAAGACACGTGGAATATACAGTCAGTCAGTACAGTTTTCTAAATAACACCTACCTAAGCCAGTCATGGGACCAAACACGGTAACATCGTCTGTTGTGCTGCAGTTCCAACGCCGATTCTTAAATTGAAATTGGCATTCCTATAAATAAAAAGTTATATATAGCAGATTATTTGTATACATACTCCTTGCGAAACAATATTTATATCGTGCACTTAGAGAGTTATAAAAATACAAATAAGGGTTATATAACATACCTGTATGGATGCTCGCGCTCCTCGACTTATCGCTGGCATAACGCTTGTGTGCAAGGCACACAGTTTTTTTTGTCCGTATGTAAGCCCATCGAGCGCGTAACAGTTATCCGGGTTTAGATCTATAGTCTCGGAATAAGCCATTGGAGTGGGCGTAGTTTCATTGTCTTGATCCTTTGGCACCATCATTCCAAACTGGTGCATATTTGCGAGCATAAAATCACGATCATTGGAGACTCCCGCTGAAGTCATTATAATGTCATGTGCGAAATAATTGGCCGGCGGTGAAAGCTTATCAACTGAGACTGCAGCTTGATATCCTTGACTGCCGCTAAGATAGCGACGTTTGGGCTGTGAGCGTGTGACACGCGATAAAATTTGAAGCGCTGGAGCTTCGTCCGAAGGTGTCAAAGCAGATTGTCCTTTGAATGAATCGGGTATTTCAATTGACACAGCAAAACGTTTAGTGTTATTTATTGTTTGCACGATAGGTTCGAAGCGTGGTCGCATAAACTCAGCTTGGCCGCGAAACCATTCGTCGCGCTCACGCTGGCGTTGCTGCTCCTCACGCTGCCGCTGGCGCACGCACTTGGGAGAGTCAGGATTTCGCAAGCAAACCGGACGCTTTGTAGTTCGCTTGGATGTTGTATCCAAAATAGACGGCGTTGTTGTCATTGGAACGCTTTTTGTTGACGTTGACTGTCCCTCGCTCAGCAGATGCACCTGGGGGACTGTATCGAATGCATTTCCGCGTTCTTTACTACGATCGATTGTACCACTGGTATCGATCGTCTGAAAAAAATTGTTTGTTTCTTCTTCATTGTGATAATATCCACCGAACGGCTTTTGCCCTGGTGTGTGAGCTCCGAGAGGTACTTTGCGTGTGGGTGGAGCTATGGGAGCGGCATACTGAAGTATTGGTCTTTGGGGCCGCTTAATACTGGGAGTAGATCCTGTTGACTGTTTTGCTTTTTCTTTTTGTAAACTTGGAAATTTCACAAATTTAGACTCGAAGTTGTTGTCGCTTTTTGTCATATTGTGCAAAAAAAGTATGTGTTTCTTAAGGTCGTCAATATTTGATGTAGGGTCAGGCGGCGGTGTTGTGCTTGTAAACGTTGTTGTGCTTCGACGCCGGGTTGCCGCCGACGCCACACCAGACCTTGTGGGTGTTGTACTTGTAGCAACAGGGGTTTTGCCAGGAACGGCCCATCGTAACTCAGGCGATGCATTTTTAAGTGCCATGGGAACAATAAACTTGCGGTCCTCATCTGTAAGACTGGCTGGAAGACCATTTTCATCGGTATCTTCGTCAAGCAGAATTATCTGCTTTTGATCCATTTCCTCCTGAATCGGATGTACACGCCGAGCCTGAGCGCTTGGAGTTTCCAGTCTTTTCGTAAGGTCTGCCTTTACGTAGCCTGTCTCAGAATCACGAAGATCCACCGGCTTTATAAATGTACCAAGCTTGCGCAAGCCTTCCTTGTGCATGTACGCCTGTTCATCTTTAGTGATGTTTAGCGGTATACTCGTATTAGCTAGCTGCTCTTCCTGCGCGCCAAATTCGATAAATGGCGACCTTATCCCTAGACAGCTGTGAAAATTTAGGACGTTTTTAGATTTTTATTTTAAGTATAATAAGTTTTTAAAACTATAGAACTGTTGTGCTACAACATGTATCTTTAATAAATTAAAAATTCCAGAATCAGATTTGTGTCCATAACTTTATTAGACCAACACATAATAGGGTGGTTCCACATAATCCTGGCGGTGGCAAAACAACCAAACAACCGGCCGATTGTACCCATGCCAGCTATATGACATAATCAACCAATCTGACAGAGTTCAGCAAATGTAAAAGAATAAATGAACTTATATATCATCTTCGCAGTGTGATAGGAATGAAAACGTTTTCTTTAATAATTTGCGTATTTCAAATCTTGTTACAGTCGAGCCGCCTCGACGAGAATAATCTTATTTTTGATTTAACTTATAAGATTTATAATGATATTTACAAGCTAATAGAAATCCACTTTTATTCATGGATATCTACTCAACAATTATAAGAGCTGTGTTCGAGTTTTATTGATCAAAGAATTAAAGAGATCAAATTTTGTAAAGACCGTTTTTCTAACTCGAAAATGTACGATAGGAAGAATTTAATTAATCTTCGACACTCCGAAGATATCTTTGATTCGGAATTATTGAAGACTAAGTGCATTGTTGAGGTATAGTGGATATTTGGTATGACGAAAATTGGTTACCTTGGTAACCTACCGTGTTTGATTAAATTGAACAGACAAATTGATTTTCCCTCAAAAACATAGTTTTCATTTTAATGAACGGGTTTTTCAAGTTTTTGTATGCTGTTGAGACATCATCAAAGAACAGTTACAGCTGTTTCAACATATTTGGGGGATCTATGCGCAGTGTATGCTTATCATAGATAGGTAGCCAGGTGTTGCCATTACTGTCAAAGGTGCTTTCAATGTTAAGTTATCAAAGTAGGCCAACTGTAGGCAGCGATTTCCCGTTTGGAAGTGGAAGTGCTGTATAAAAGAGAGACAATCTTCAAACGAAGCATCAGTTCAAATTTTACTCTTAGCCCAAATACAATGAACTGCATTCTTGTATTTATACTCTTGGTGTGCACTTGTGTCTGCGTGACCCATGGATTAGGCGGAAATAATGGCGAAGGCTACGACTACACGTATGGTGCTAAGCTGACAACTAGCACACTTATCGCACGTGAGACTATTTCCAAAAGTAAGACGCTGCTGCAGACAACATCTAAGACATACACGCTAACTCAGGCAGGAACGGCAAAAAATATCGACTACATTAATATAACAAATCTCAAAAAAATGCGAGGAGCCACCGCTGAAATTACGAGTGGCGGTGTAGGATCAACAACAGTCACCGTGAAATTTACCTCGGCACGGGGCAGTGGCATTAAGTCTCAGATTGAAATTTGGGGTACATAACTGTGTCTTATAATAAACCTATATGTTTTGTGTATCTAGTATGCATTTTGTGTTTTATGTGCTTCTTATTCATATTCGGCAAATGTTTTGTGGAACTCTGATAGCTAACATTTAAGAGAATCAGTTGCGCAATAGCATAAATAGTTTTTCAATGCAACATGCGGTTTGTATAAAATATTCGACAAGCATTTAACTTTTTCTGTTACTATTTTTACTAGCAAATTGATATGCTTTTCAAAGATATAAAACTAAATTGGGTACTTAACAATTTAAATTACTTAGCTATTTATTTAGTTACTTAAAGTAATCCCTTAAAAATCACGACGTTTAAATATTACAGCCCCAATTTGTTTTAAAATTAATTCTTAATATATTTGTATAAAAATGGTTTAGTTATTTATTTTCCATAAATTTCAACACGAAATATTAAGCCATAATTATACTGTGATTGTAGTTTGATGTTGACAAAGTTAAAACCAGGGCCTCCAGAATAAATCGTAGCATGACCTCCTGTGTTGTTTGTCACCTGGTCGAAAGCTCGTATGCCCGTAATGATGCGCCCATTACCAATACCCTAAAGTGTGGAAACCGAAAACTTTTATATTTTTGTCTTGTTAGGTAGTGTACTTTTCACAAGCGTTTATTCGAGTGCAACTATTTACAAAATTGCGTGCGTAATTAAAATAGTGTTAAATTATTTTCCATATATTTATGTACAATATAAGATGAAGATGTGGGCTTTTTTTTACAATGATATATGTTTTGTACTCTCATTTATTCTATCTTATTTGTAAATGTATTTCCAAAACTTGTTAATCAAGAAAATATTAACCAAAGCTATTTCTTTTGGTATAGTGGGATTAGCTGCTCTATAAAAATGAAACTAGGCTCACATAAAAAGATTTAAGTAAATCTGAAGTTAAAACAAGGAAAATTAATTTTACACATTTAGAGCTCGAAACGGAGCCAAAGAAGATATAGATAGAAAAAGGTTTAAAGAATAAAAATCAGCAGAAAAGATTACAATGGCATTATTCGTGCCTTTCCCTAAATCAAATTATTACGTTAACTGGTTTAAATTTACTTTAACGAAATCTAAATCATTTTAATTGTACTATTGTACGTTTGCGCTGTAAATTATTTAAAGTCGACTATAATTGCCTCTTCTTTTTTTTAAATTTAAATGTTTTCGACAATTGTACGATTTAGCACATTTATTTACTTTTACTTAGCGACAATAACTTTGGGTTGTAATACATATTTTAATAATTATAATATTTTATCTTTTTAAGCGGTTGATTGATGTGAACTTTTTTATGAACGAAAACTATCGAATATTTAGTTTATAAATGGTATGTTTAATATGCGCAGTTGTGATTATATATAAGCATATGCGGGTTATCTTAGAAATATCAATGAGAGAAATGGAAAAAATAAATAATTTAGTCCGACGCCACTGACCACAATTTGTTCACACTGTAATAAAAATTGGGATCCGATGGAAATGAGACGCATTGATTATGAAAGTTAAGACCGTACAACTATATTTTTAATGCAGTAACTTTTATGTTGTGAGCTTAAAACTGAAAGTGAGATGCATTTTTGAAGCGTGCAGCGGTGGATGAATGAAGGTGCGAATTGAATTGAACAACAATCTTATTTGGTAGCCCTAGCTGTAAAATTGTGGTAGATATAGATTTTCGATAAGATCTGGATGCGCTAATTCTGCTTTTCAAACTATACGTCTCTTGTCTCGTTCTTAAACAATGTGTTCATACAGGCAACAGAACTGGACAATATACAATCTTTTATATAATAGAATCACGTTAAAACAATTGTTCTTAAAATGGTTCCCTCGTAGAGGATACTTAAAAGATTTGCAAGCTATAGATGAAGAGTGCTTTCTAGTTTAACTGGGAAATCGGAAACAGATTTGTGGTAAGGGTTAAAATCTATCGCAAGGATTTCAATCAAAAGTATTTAACCATCAGAGTTCCGCAGGATCCGCTCAATACTAATACCTATATGTATTCGCATATAGCCTAACCTCCTAGTCTAGGATAATCTATTTGTAATCTTACATTTTTCGGATCATCGTTCAATATAGACTTTTAAAAGCATACTTGCTAAATGCAACATACACGAAATTTTCTATATACATACATCAGAAGTTACAAAAATCTGCCTTTATACAAACAAACAAGCAAATGGATGAGAGGAAAACAGACAAAATATTTATAAGGTCAAAGATGTGGCCATTTACCCGGTTTATACACTTATATAGGATAATTGAAACTTATTAACAGAAAGAAATTGAATCAATGCGGGAACAATGCAAATGGCATGCAATCTTATTCGAGTATATTTAACACTAATAAATACATATAAGATTTAACCACGGATGTAACTGTAACTGCTCACATTGGTTGGATATTTAATTTCATGATCCACATATTTTCCGGGTGAAGAGCCGTACACAACGTTTTCGGCATGTAATAATTGCGCCGAATTCGAAATGTTTCCCCATGTGCTCGATACGGAATATGCAGGTGCCACACAACAGAACACCAAAAGGAAACTGGGAAGAACGCTGAAAAACATTTCCAGTTCAAGGTGGGTCTATCACGAAAATTGTTCGGTAAATGCTCGGATCGTATTGAAAATCTTGCTGATTCTTGTTGTAACAAGTTAAGCTTCTAGTTGCTTCGAGTGTTATCAGCTATTCGTCGGGTTTTAAACATGTATTTTGTTGTAGTGCGTATAGTATACGAAGAGAGCTTTTTATGTATTAAGTGCTTAGACTCTGTTGGTACAACCGCTCCTGATAAGTATATATTTTAAACTAATTCATGGATCTGAACGAGAGTTTTTTCACATGCTGGCATTCGAAAATAGCTACAGCCTCCGTATTTTGTTTTTTTTTTTTACTTATACGCAAAACTCAACATGGTGAGTCAAAGATTGAGGCAGTTATACTTAAGTGCTTATCAATACGGCGAGTGCGTCAGCGATCCGGAATAAAAAATAAAACACGCTAGAAAATCTATCTTAGGTATACTGGAAATTCAACACCCTTGACAAGTTATTATACTAATTGAGCCTTAAACATCTTCGTAAGATTAATTGTAAGTTTTGCATATATACATGTCTACTTTTATTTACTATAATTAAAAGCTTAAGAGTAAGCCGGAAATTACGATTCCAAGCTATATATGAATGCTCTTAAAAGTAATGAAAATGCATTCTATATATTTTTTATAATCAGCAGAGTATATCATTATTTGTTCACGAAATGCTTAAAGTATTGCTATATGGCATGAGGCAACTTTGATCCCATAATAAGATTCTTGATTAGTATTAAAAGCGATGTCTGAATCTCATTTTTTTGCAAGCGCGTCTCTCAGTTTCAAAAGCTTTTCCACTTGTCTTTTTGTTGCAGGCAGCACATACCGCAGTCTCGGACGGACCAGATCATTATAGTTCGTACAGCATTATCTCATATGGAATTTGCGAACGAAAATTAGTTTTTATTAATCGCGCCGACTCTTAATTTGACCAGAGCTTTATATTTAGGGTATGTCTTAAATGCGAAACTGTTCACGAAACTTAATACAAAAAAACCTAAACCTTGAAAAACGAAATTCTAATCAGGGAAAATGGTGTTCAAAGTTAGTTTGAAAAATATAAAAAACAACAACAACGCAGGCAAATAAGTGTGCAGAATGAGCTTATTCTTTCGGTTGAACCAAAGTTTCCGTTGAGTCGTCCGACTAAATATTTTTTTAGAAACTCGCACAACTCGACACAAAATAATTCGAGTCACGCCCCGCACGACCGTAATAATTGTTGATAAACATGTTTGGGTCGACTCGATGCAGGACTTGGATGTACAATAAGAGCGTCAAAACTCTCTGAGCTATTTGGTTAAGAATGAATTTGCTAAACAATGTAAGTGGCGCCATCAATGAAGATCACAATCGCCTATGTATGTTTGTACTCGTACATAAATACATAAATACATGGACAATCTTACAAATTTGTTTAATGTGCATTCCCTGTGCATAACAAGTAAGAATGCTCCAGGAGATTGGGAGTTTCCGACTAGGAGACATCCTGAACCCACTTTTGCCAACGCCAAGTGATGCTGGCACTACGAGCTCGTTTGCGAGTACCTCCTAGTCGGGCGCCTTCCACACTCTTACTTGTTTTAAATGGTTTGTTGATAAAGTGGCGACGACCACTTCCCCCACAATATTAGAAATACATATTTATTTAATGTTAAGACACCAAAAGCTTTAGCATTATTGCAAAATAATTGAACCTATGTACACCTAAAAAATTGGGAAAATAATATGCTGTTATACATTTATAAAATGAACACATTTTGAATACTTACATCCATGTTGGAACGCCTTGTAAGCCCGTAATTGCATCTAGACCTGCTACAGATAGCGGCACAAAAGTCATTATTATGTTCCACAAGAGAAAATGTTTCCTCACTAGAAATGACATTTTTCGTGTCGCAATAAAAAATGACTGATATTTAATTTGAACAGCACAACTCTTATTGACTTTTTGAGGACGGCCGAGTGCTGAGCTTTAAAGATTAATAATATATGGCGAATTCGTGTATAACAGGCATCAGTGAGTGATCATTAATATCAGATTGGAACATGTTTTAACTATGTTTTTGATGTCTGTTCAGAATGTTTTTATTTTTCATTTCTTTGTTTCTAACATATCGGGCTTGCGCATGTGTGCTTGTCCATTATTATAGATTACTTTTGATCAGTTAGCGACACTCACAACCGAAGTCATCTGAAAAAAAGCAAAGTGAATTTTACAAAATTGTTTTTATTACGTTTAAGTAAAAGTCTTCGGAGTGCCGAAGCTTTAACACCCTTGCAAGCAAAGCAAGTATAGATCATACATATATATAGTAAATATTAACTTTGCGGAATTATGGATTTTTCTACCTTTAAAGTAAATAATTGGGCCTAAGATTAAGCAGGGGTTTCTTTGTCAATTTAATAAGTAACCATTGACGTCCTAGTCCTGCCCGTCTGTCTGTCCGCATGTATAAACGCTTCGATCTCAGGACCTATAGGATCTAGAAAATGTATTTTGAATATAGGTCCTCCTAGTAACCGCGCAGTACAAGTTTCCATTCCATTTTCACTAAATCTATATCGAAACCTAGTATTTTAAGGATATATTGGAGCTTTTCAAAATTGCAGACACTACAGCGTTTACATATCACGAATATTTAATCCTTTGGATACACCCCATTCCAACCGATTCCCCTAAATTGAAGAAAAAATCTATTTTCTTTAGCCTTGATATCTACCCACCTTTTGGGTTGTCCTATTTCATGTTAATAGCTTAATAAATCAGGAGAGTATTGCACAGGTTCTAAGCGCAGGTTTCACGCACTTCCGGAAGGATCCTAGTATCGCATAAAAATGTGAGTATATTTCAAAAGCCAAGGATATTTCTCCAAAAATGACTTCTTTCAATTTTGTAGGTAACGGAGGTTCTCCAAATAGTGAATAGTGAATCTGCATATACAAAAACCTACATACTACTATAAAACCTTGCATTGCATAACAATATTTGATTAACAATTAATTAATAACACATCTTTGCATTGTAGAGACGCTGCTGAAATACAGTACACATACATACATATATTCAATCCTGGCGACAAGTACACGCACACAATACAAATGCGACATTTGTGTCTGATGTGCATCCATTTAATCATTTCTACACACATTGCCATAAGAACACGGTGTCTACTGCATTACCAGAAAACTGGCACCAATCATGAGTGTGTATGTATGTGTGTATGTGGGTATGTGTTTGTAATTGTAAATGCTTATGTTGCCAGATCGATGTGGACACAAATATTATACGTATTTAAATGCAACAAAAACACTCACCCCTTTCACACATAATACGCTTGCATTCATTCAATTTTTGGTTACAAATTACAAGGGTACGATATATGTATGTATGTATGCACTTGATTAACATTAATTTATAATTGGTCGTTGCAAGCATCAACTGTAAGATTTAACACACGTGCCCGACATACATATTTATTTACAAACATATTTATATAAATATGTTTGCGTGTTAGGCACGTTGATGGTGCTGCTCCTGATACCTTCAGGTATTAAATACATACATTTGTTTGTGTGTGTGTGTGTAAGTGTATATTAACTGTGCGTCTTGTTTACGGTAAGAAATGCCTGCTCATTCAAAACATGTATACACACATACGCATTTGTATCGTATGTATATATTAAACCATTCTTGAGTTGCCTGAGAAAGCGGCAAGCATACATTTCTACGTATGTATTTACCACCTTACATACTTATTACACATACATACATATTTATGTATATACGTGCATATATGGTCAAATAAAATTTGCTTGTATATGTACACTTTGTTTATATATGCATGTTTCTACAATTTATCAAACCTAAATAGGATTTAGATACATACATTCATTTTGTTAGTATGTACACTTTGTTTATATCCACCAACATATATTTTGTTTATGCGACATATGTATGTACCTTACATTTTGTTTATATGGCACGATATTATCAATTAATTGCGCACAATCTGATATTTATATAAATGCATCTATAAATGCATGTACGTATTTATTTAATATTACACACTTCCATCGCTTTTGGTTGTAAATATGTATGTAAATGTCACGAAACGTACAGAAACGCGTCCAAAAGAAATAAAGAAGCGCGTTGAGTTTTACTATGAACGGAAAATTGTAAATAACTGCAAAACTTGTTTGCCATTGAAGTCTTTCGTGGTGAGTTGTTAAAAACTGAATAACAACACGCTTATCGATTTTCCGATATGTTTGCGCGATAGCTTAGAATATTAAAGACTATGTGGCAACACCAAATGTTGCACCACTTTGTTTATGTTGAGGCACATTTTGTGTATTAACTTATTTTTTCCTATATTATATATGTGAGCTGTGTCACAATTTGATACAATCGCAAATATTTATACTAGCGGTCAAAATAAATTTACCTGAATATTTGAACTTAAACTGCACAATTAAAGTTCTATTTTGCATAGATAATTATTTATAAGTTAAAGGTACATCGATAAAATATTCATATATTAAATATTTCTATAAAAAAAAATTGGAAATTAGATTGATGATCGTATGGTAAAAATCCACCATTAGTGATAAAGTCTTTATACCCATTGAAAATGTCTGTAAAGGGTATGTTGTTTTTCTACAAATGTATGTAACAGACACAAAGAAGCATCTCCTAATAAATAATGTTTATATATTCTCGATTAGCAACCTTGTCGATCTAACCATTTCCGTATGTCTGATGGTCTATTCATTATTACGCCCTCCTAGTGCCTGCAGAGTACGGATTTTTTTTCGATAACCGATAAGTTTCTGCGTTTCCAAGCAATCAATAAAAATCTAAAACGCACTTTTTGAGCCAATCTATTGGATTTTAAAAACTGGAGTCACCAAATTTGATATCGTATATTTTCATTTTATTTTATATGTATTGTCACCATTCAAAGATCCTTTAAAACATTTACTTGATTCAGTTTTTCGCGAAATCCACCGCTTTTCAATGGAAAATGCAGGTAGCGACAAAGCAGGAACGCTGGAAAGGAACGATGCTGGTTCCTCTCTTTTCGTAACATTGCCCCCCTCTGAGACTCGAGCATATGCCAGTAAGCTTTAGTTTCCGGCTCTTGTCCAAGATGGCACAACTGGAAGCCCGCCTTTCTTTGCCTAGCTAAGACAAAATCATCGTCAGAGTCGGAGAGTCAGAGTCATCCTCGTTTAGCATAG